TTGAACAATAGTATTTAAAAACTATGGGTGATTGCTGGGAACATGGGTTGATTTTCTCCAATATTAGGTAAAATTACCAGTTTATTTCACTCACCAGGACACATATGACATTTTTATCATGAAACAAAATGATTTCACACTGCATTCCAAAATCACTCTTTAATTAACTACTCCCCATGAAAACATATTAGTTATTTAATTATAAACAAAGATCTTGATTCTGATTATCATTCCTGGATTCATGAATTTGAGCCCTTTTACTGCTCAAAACCAGTCTGTGGCCCTTATCACAAGCAGTTCCCTAACAGAAACACCCACACACTCACAGCCACACTAGGAATTCTCCTCAAGAACCACGGTCCTCACTGCGCACGGCGTGGGTGTTTTCCTCCCCAAGTCTGGTTTTCAACCCTGCACATGTACTCCCTAATGTCCTGGAGGCTTTCCTCATGCCATCTTGGGTCCTGGAGCTGAATCCCCTGCACCAGCTCTCCAAAGTGAAGACTTCCCTGCACCCCACTTGCTCCTGCTCTCCTTGCAGGGTTTTCACCATTACTATCCTACCTGCTATTTTGATCACCTTTCTTGACCTCCAGTGGCCTCAACCCTGCCACTGAAAACTGTGTTATTGTTGGAATTTGAAGATATTTGCTGATGTAAGAACACCCGGTTTATAGAAAATGAGGTACAAGTATAAGAATGAACCCTATGCTGATACACCTATGGGTAAGAGTAGTAACCTCAGCCATCTAGAAAACAACAGAAATTGGTGTGGAAACTCACTAGCTCAGCTATGAAGATCATACTCCTGAAACGAGAAGGGAAAGTGTTTTACACCTTTATTATTTAAACTACTGGTAAAATACTTTTCTAAACAGAGAAAGACAGACTGCCTAGCTAGAGGATAGTGTGCTACCAATGACAAATTGCAGGTGTTCTTAAAATTTTGGACTGCATGCACTGTCTCAGGATTTTAATCTTGCTTAAGTTTCACATTATAATACCTAAGAATTAAAGCAGAGGAAGTCACTCTGGTGTCACTAATGTTTCTTTGTTCGGTGCTTGGGCAATTTTTCAGTTCCTGGCACTTAGTAATACTGGTAAGCCCCTCTCAAGATGAAAGAGGGGTGAGGAAAGAATGTAATGGATGAGGAAGAGCTAAAAGCACCACCTTGTTCCCAGTCCTGATTGGCATCTGGGAATTGACCTGTGTAGAGGAAACAGTTTCAGGAAAATTTCACAAGCTGCTCACATTCCATGTAGGAGTCAGCCCCACTCAGGTACAGCATGGCCATGTAGCCCTGGCTCAGCTCCAGCAGCTCCTGTTGCTCTCCTCCTAGGTAAATAAGGAAAAATCTGGCAGTGTATTCAACCCAGTGGGGTATGTGCTGCTTAGCCCAACAGGCAAGTCCTCTTTCATCACAATAAACATATCTACATATGTTCCTAAGATTCCCCACCAACAGCCACAAGTGACATCCACATGGTCAAATCTCTATGATCCAGTTTTCCTTCGCAAGGAGAACAGTCAACCTGCCAGGTCATCAAAGACCTCAATGGTGAAGGAGCTGATCTCTCTGACAGAAGCCACTTCTATCCTACATTTACTATCTAGGATTGAATGAAAATTAATGATTCACTGAATCAAGCTGTCCAACAAACATTAGTTGAGGGACAAGGAAGGAGACAATAGTTGCTTTGAATGAGAGGAGAAATTATCAGTCTCTGATCTATACCCAGAGCTCTGTTAGGCATGCAGAAGGAAAATATGAGTTGCAACAAGGAAAACTACCTCTAAGTAACATATTTTCAAATTAACCTGTATTCTTATTCTTTGTCAAAACTTCATGTTTTAGGAACAAGATAGAGAAGAATAGAACATACAAAATGAATAAGAAAGCTAAGAATTATGAAAGGTGCTCTGCCGCTAGTGTTTCCAGTTTGTTTTCATGTATGATATCAGTTGGCGATCGAATTTATAGTTTTGGCGATTTCTAGGTGTAATGCGATGGTGGATTGATACAGCGATGTATTTAAACAAAATATGATTTGAGATACTGAACATTACATGTATAATGTAATTATACATACTGAACATTACATGTATAATGTAATTATACATACATTAATGAATGTATATTGGATTTATTTCTGAGGAAACACAAATGTTCAATTGCATGAACTTGTTGCCTGTCCTCTGGATCAGTCCATGTTGAGGAAGGAAGGAAGGGACACTGAATGGATCTGGACTCCAACCACCCACTTGCTCTGGAGAATGGCAGCGCTCCAGGGCAAAAAGATCAAAGGAAACAGAGTAGAAGGAGCTGCAGAAATATGACTTCTTCATTTGTTTATACATTCCATGACTGAAAATGGATGTTCTATATGAGCAGAGATTTTGTTCAGTGTGGTCCAAATTTGTTCTGCTATGTGACTCAGGGCAATGACGCTCTTAATTTTTGTACTTGTTACATAGAAACCATTATTTCATGGTTTAAGAAATATTTTATGTTTCATTCCAGTTTAATGAAGAATAACCAACCAGGAGTTGGGGGCTTCAATTACTTCATCTATAAACCACAGAAGGATATGTAGCCTCTTAGGTCTGTGGGAGCCAAAAAATTTCAGTGAACTTGAGAGGTACATTGAGATAGTGTCCATTGAGAAAGTGAGGAGGAGGAATACAGTGATTCTTAGGGAAATGATCATATTTTCTGAATGTGTGTCATCATGAAGGAAACAACAGAGAGCTGGTTTGGGAAAATTGAAATGTCTAGGAGATAGATATCTAAGTGGAACATCTAATAAGTATTTAAATTTGAAAAAAAAAGCCTGAGGCAGAGGTATGAGTTGCCTACTGTCCTAATTACATCCAGTGACAGGAATATGTTCTATATTCTGGTATAATTAGGATGCTTCAATAAAACTTTGAAATCATGAGCTGACAAGAAAAAAAGTTTAACAAATATACATTTTGTTTTCAAGTTGGCAGCAACAGTTTTGTAAGAGATTTGGAAATTTGATTCAGAATTATAATTTTAAGGTTATGTCTTGACACGTGTGGACACATAATCACATTTCGTGGATTAAAGACATTTTTTATTTCTCTTTCAGTTATTTAATGTCATGGTTCATCTTGGTGCTGTTTCTATCACTTTTATCTTCTTGATAATTTACACAGGATTCTGAGATGAAGGCTGCCCACTGAGAGCTCTGCCCATAGATTTTATCAGGGGAGTATAGTGCAGAGTGGCTCAGACAGCTGAACCAAAGCAGGCTGGTGTCATAGTGCCTAATCCTATTCATCCTTCTCCTCTGAGACTCTGGTATGAGGTTTAGAAAGTTATTATTTAAAATTCAACAGTCATATTATCATGTGGAAAGAAAAAATGTTTACACCTGTCTGATTTTTCAATAAACAAACATAATATTTATGATCTTGATACATTAGAAATGTTGCATGAATTCGTAATTACAGGCACCTATGGAAACACCATTAAGAGGCAGTCTCCTGCATTGCTGGCTGTGTCTGCAAAGAGAGGTCCACTATCAGCTGCAATTCCATGGTCATTTATTAAGCTGCAACCAGAAGAACTATTTGTCTGTGTAGCAGAAAAAAAAAAAAAAAAAAAAAACAAGGATAGGGTCTTAAACTGCTCATTTCCTTGGTATCCTCCGGAGACTCTTGAGAGATTTTTATTTTGAGAAGATATTTTCCATATTGTCCAGTATGACTCTCTTGGCTAGTTTGGTCAAAGTAACATCATCACAGAATTACTGAGATAATGTTCTTGCCACAAATGTATATCACTTCAGAAAAGAAGTAAGAACATATTCTTGTCTTGTTAGAACTTCTATTGTTTATGATAAAGTTGAAGTCATACATGCGTGTATGAGCCAGGGAGCATCTGCACCTGCTGATTTGCATATCTCTTTCTCAGAAACTACAAGATGTTCAGATTTCTATTTAAAGCCTGATTTTAAGAGATCCCTTGAGCCTGAGGCAGAGCTCAAAAAACACAATGGATTTTCAGGCTCAAATTCTCCCCTTGCTACTGCTCTGTGTAACAGGTAAGAAAAAAAGGAAACTCAAACCTGAGCCTCCTTTTTGAATCGCAATTGAGATTAAGGCAGAATTGTAGTTAATGTTCCTGTGTGCTATGCGATGCGACATCCCTGTGGCTCTGAATGTACTAACTTCTATCATCTCTTTTCTTCTCTCCTCCATGAACACAGTGTCCAGGGGACAAATTGTGCTTACCCAGTCTCCAGCATCCATGGCTGCTTCTCCAGGGGAAAAGGTCACCATCACCTGCAAAGCTAGCTCCAGTGTAGGTACTAGCTACTTGCACTGGTACCAACAAAAGCCAGGATCCTCTCCCAAGCTCCTAATTTATGAAACATCAAAACTGGCCTCGGGAGTCCCAGCTCGCTTCAGTGGGAGTGGGTCAGGGACTTCTTACTCGCTCACAATCAGCAACGTGGAGGCTGAAGATTTTGCAACCTATTACTGTCAGCAGTCTAGCAGTTACCACCCACAGTGATGCAGACCACAACAAAAACCCCATTAGCTCCTCAGGGCCCAGCTGCTTCTTGCTCAGGATCTAGGGCATGATTAAATGCTTTAGATGAGACAGAAACTCCTGATTGTTTTCTGCTGGGGCTAAGGTTGTATGGCTTTCTACAAATGGAAGGGAAATGTAGAGATGTGCAATGATGTAAACAAGGAGGCTTTTTTATGTGACAGTCTGTCCAGAGAAGACTTGGAAGCTATGACACAGATATCCTAAATGGGACTCTTTTTCACAGCCTAAGATATTAAACTGTGGAACAAACGCCCAGTAGTGGTGGAAGCCCTCTTCCCAAGATCTTCTCTATTTCATGAGGAATAAGGAAAGAAAACTAACAGACCTGTCCCACAACTTAGTGAATCTTCAGAGACAGTGGCCATGTCCCCAAGGTGAAGAACTGCAGAGTTTATGCCATCATCAGTCCTTACATTGAGAATGCCAAAAATATTTTATTGCATTTTGTATTGTATCACAGTGGAATAACCTCCAGCATAACAAATGTGAAAATGTGTAAAGGATCCAAAATGTGACAAATTTCTCTCATTTGTGGTGCCTATTGCATTTTCTATCAGTTTTTTTGAGCCAATGACGCTCAGATTACTCATTTTTGTTTTGTCCCTCAGATCTCTAGAGACTACTCCTTTGAGTCCTGATCTATTCCTTCTGTGTTCCTCACTATAAGCACTTTATATTTTTTTCCTTATGACTGATTGGGTCCCTTTATCTTCTGAATAGGGAAAGTGTTACTTCGCTTCAGGAATTTTCAAACAATGCTGGAAACAAAACACTGAAAAAAAAATATGTAGCATTTATCTATAAGACAGAAGGCAGGTAACCCACCATAGACACAAATGACACCAAGACTATTTGGAACAGACCAGCATTCAAGCTTTTTTCATCCCAGCACGGGTTTCCTCCTTTTGCTGCTTCTGCATATGTCTGTAAAATTAGAGATGAAGTTAAAGACCTGATAACCTATACTGTTAGACTTAGTGTTACATGCATTTTTTTTCTGAATACCAGTATTCCTCTACAGAACCCTAACTGCAAAATGTAATACAAATGTAAATTCAGATTCATTTTAGGATCTCAATAATTTCTCAGTCTTAATAACAAAATATCCTAAAGGGAGAAATCTGCTGTTCTTAGAGAAATCTATACTCTTTAACTGTTCTGGCATCACTGGTCCTATGGACACTAGGCCTGTGCTGAGATAATGACAGGAGCCTGTCCTGAAGCTCTGCCCAGCCCTGCTATTTATATGTGACCACAGCACAGCCCCTGCCCTGAAGACTTCTTAATATACCAATCACACCCTGTAGGATTCTCTACCATTCAGGACACAGCGCAGTCATGAGGAAACACAGTCAACTTCTGGGGCACCTGCTGCTTTAGATCCCAGGTATGGAAGTAGAACAGTGGAAATTTCCACAGCCTAACCTCATCAGCGTGAAATGATTCTTCAGAAATGTTCTTTTTCATCATGTTCAAGTATCTGAAAGTTTGATTTTTTTGTTTCCAATGATAGGTACCTGATTTGACATCCAGATGACCCAGTCTCCCTCCTCCATACCTGCATTGGTAGGAATCTGTCACAGTCAATTGCCAGAAACATCAGATTATAAGAAAATGGGTAACATGGCATCAATAGAAACCAGGGAAAGCTCCTCATCATCTAACATTCTATGCAGCACATTTGGTGTCTGGCATCCCCTCAAGATTCAGTGGCAGATGGCGTGGAACAGATTTTACTGTCACCATCAGCAGCCTGGAGCCTGACGATGTTGCAATTTATTACTTTCAGCAGTATGATGCCAGTGATACACACACCCAGTGATACAAGACATGACATAAACCCCCAAAGGAGCAGAGTGTGAGGCTGGCTTCACCGTACCTTCTTTGCATTGCCTTGAAATGGTGAAATTTTGCTCAGATGTATCCAGGCTTTGAATGTACTGAGAGATCCTTGTAGAAGGTTCAAAGAAGCTCTGTTGCAGCAGAGGTTTCTCCCTTTCTCTTCCTAAGCATCACAGATCTAAGTAAATTCTATGTATATAATAAAAGGAAGAGGTATTTATTACTGAATATTAGGAATCATGATTTTGTTTGGAGCTGAAAGAGGAAAAGAAATGCCACTGTACATACAGAAAGCAAACATTATATTTCTAGGGAAATAATCTAATCCATAGCTTTTTAAGGTTATAGTGTTTATTTGCATAAAAGTAATGACATCGTCTAGGCATTGTTTGGTGATCTCCTGGAATCCAAATCATCTGCCTCTTAATGCACACAGACACGTGGACAGAGGTAACTGGAGAATGAACAGTTAAAGAGCTGCATTCAGCTGAGAGCATCCACACCTCCACCTACACTATATCACTTGCAGGTCACCTATTCACTGCCATTTTGTGCCCTTTTGTCACTTACATATATCGATCAGTTTTCCAACACCAAGTCAGCTCTGAATTCCATGAGTAAAATCCACTCAGATGAGATAAGTTATTCAATTTTATGGGTGAACTGAATAAGTTTGAAATTATTTTGTGAAGGGCCGGGGATTTAGCTCAGTGGCAAATCATATACCTGGTGAGTGTGAGATCCTAAATTCGATCCTTGAAACAAACAACAAAAATCAAAGAAAGACTTTATCAAATATCTGTGTATGTATTATTATGTAGAATATTAGTTTATGCATTTCTTTATTCCCAGTCACTTATTACACATTGTCTCCTATTTCTCCTTTCATTTACCCCACCTATCCCATCATTCTCAGCCTCATAGTGCATTCGCAAGTGTTTTTGAGAGGTGTAATAAAATGGCATTGGATACACAGCAGAGAACAAACAAAGGAGGAGGAGAACAATTAAAGTCAGGACATATTCACTTCTACCTAGTTCACACTGTCCATCTTCAGTAGTGTTCTGGGAGGAAATAGCAGGGATCTTCTGGAAGCATTTTATCATCTACACTCATTGCACAGGATACTCAGTGTGGTGCTCCTCAGGTCAGAAATGAGAGACAAACATGTCAAAATGAAGAAGAAATTTCAGAAAATTTACTGCTAAGAAGTTTTCTTCACATTTGGTTTTTATTCTTTGTCTGAATATTGTTAGCAATTTTAATAATTATACTGCTTTTTGTTTTTGTATTCTCCCTTATTTTTTATAGAATTTGCCGGCTAAAAGTAATAGTGCATTTATTTCATCTTTGCAGTCACTAGAAATGCATGCAATATTTGATTCTTTTCAAGACCATTTTTCTCCATTTAGATTTAGATTTGACATAAAAACCGTATTATCATAGATGTATTACACTGGTTGAAATTTATTGCAAAGCTTAATGGCACAGAAGAGTATAAATTTTAATATAACATGGATATAAGTGAAAAAGGATTTCTACAAGAGAGGCATGTGTTTGTCTAACTCAAACATTTATGACAAATGAAATTAACTCAGCAACAATAAAGACAGACAATAAAGAAACAGGAAATAAAGAGGATTAAAAACAAAGTTGAAAAACATTAAAAAGTAGGATACACAATTCAAAGTTAACATCATGGAATCTCTAGTTGATACATTACATATTGCCACCTTAAAAGTAGTTGTTAATGTTATAAAATCAAAGCATAAAATGTGGCTAGAAACAAACATTGGCAGAGAAATTTCTTCTGTCCAATTATCTACTAGAAATTGGGTAATATGGGGAGGTATCTTACACATTATACATACCGTCACATCCTTTCCTTCCCTTTTCACCTTTATAATAGCTATTATACTTTTTGAATCCCACTATTCTGTCAATTTTTATTATATTTTACACTAAAGAGATAAATTGATATTTCCTAATGTGAGTCTTGTTGATTTCACTAATGAGGATATTCTCAACTTGCCTGAATTTACCTACAAAGGTCTAAAGGTCATGCTTTTATATTTGAGTAATATTCCATTATATAAAAATGACACATTTTTTCATCCACTCTGCAGTTGATGGACATTTTTTTTTTGTTTCAAAGATTTAATTATCGCAAATTGTTCTGCTATGAAAATGGGTGCAAAGGTATCTCTGTGACATGACCTCTTCAATTTTTTCTGGGAAAATGGCCAGGAGAGGAATAGCTGGATTGAGTGGGACATCCAATTCTAGGTTTTTGAGGAATCTCCATGCTGATTTCCACAGTGATAGCACCAGTCTGTACTCCCTGCAACAGTGGAGAAGTAACCATTTTTCCCTGCACCCTCACCAAAATTTGTTAACCAATGGACTGAGAAAACAAGATAAAGCAGTAAAGCTCACCTCTGCAATGTGAGACCTAGAGACTAAACAATGCTGCGACATTTATTTCCTGTTGCATTGCAAAGTCAGACTCCTAAAGAAAAATAAACACAATGCTGAAAAGTCTCATTTTTTTTTCTTTGACTTGATTCATTTCCCTCCTTTGAAACACAGAGCAATAGGTGAACAACAGCTGGAACACGAGTAATATATTGGTAACTCTCAATTGCCTGAAGTTTGATTTATAGAAATTGTAAAACTACATCTATATATAATTTTAAATTACTATGTTGGTGATAATTTTAAAAGGCAAGATAAAACTGACATTACAACTTTCATGAATAGTGAAACAAAATTGTAAATTTCAAAAATACAAAAACACTCACCTGTGCTGTGTCAGTAGAGTGAAGGACTGTTTTATTGAGTTTTCCAACTCCCTGATCAAGGAGGCAGAAGTGGGAGGTAGGCTCATCTCTGGGCAGCAGAGGTCAGGAGTGACTATTTCAAGACTGCAGCTGTGAACCCTGAGGCTTCAGGACCCCTTTCTCCCCAGAGTGTCAGGTGTTGAAAATGAAAACGAAAACTTTGGCCTCACCTACAGAAGTACAGTACAGAAATGACATAATCATTGAGTAGCTGGACAGTTAATAAATTTAAGAAAATTAATATGTTTAGAACACAGGACTTGAGAAAAAAGCACAGTGACAAAGACAGCTCCATCAGACAAATAAAACAATTGCAGCACAATTCATAGTGTTGAATAGAACAGTAGAGCATTTTGATTCGCTCAAACACAAACAGTGAAAAACTGAAGCATCTGTGTGAGTATGTGATTTTGCATACAAAGGATAAAAGGTTCTTTACCAGTCTGATTTTTTTTACTTGAATTGACAGAAAAATAGTTTTCTTTAATTTTAAATTTTGTCAGTGTTCATGAAGTTATTATTGAATTTAGAAAAGGCATTGAGAAACAATATCTCCTAGGTTTGGATTTAATAAGAAAGGAAATAACTTATAAATCATTCTGTAGGAGGAATGAGCTCAAATTAATTTAGATGTTTTCCCTTTCACAGTTGGGGTACTCTTTCTAAACAAGTGTAAAGATAATAGCAAAAAGAGGAACATCTGTGAGGCTGAGCCACAGTGAGCAGCTAGCTGCCTAAGGAGGTTTTTGTTCACATCTGGAGCACTGTGGGGGGAGGCTCTGTACCCTGCTGAGCAGTAATAGCTCACAGCATCCTCAGCCACAACAGGGTCAGTGGTGATGGTTAAGTCAGACCTAGCCCCACTGCAAAGAATACAGTCAGGGACTCCTTGGACTCAATGCAGTGCTCCATAGATCAGGGATTTGGGAGGCTGTCCTGAATACAAGGCTTATGATACGGAACTCGCCCAAATCTTCCTCAACACTCAAGCTGGCTCTGCAGGAGATGGTGGCCTTCTGTTCTGGAGACACAGACACAGAGGCTGGAGACTGTGTCAGCACAATGTCCCCAATGTAGCCTGAAATGATAAACAAACACAATGTTTGGTACAGATTCATTCAGACATTATGATACAAAACAACTGCATTGGAGACACCACAGAGGAATCAGAAACCAAAAGGGAATTTGAAACTTAAAAGATACAAGAAATTTTATTTTTCTGATCTTCAAGAACATGGAGACAAGGAAATTAAAATTGGCCATGGTAAACACGCCCACACCTTGCCATCCTCCCACTTTCTGGAGCCCAGAGGAGCAGACATGAGAGGAGCTGAGTGCCAGACCACATATCTGAGACTTGAACCTAAATGTTGATACACAAGGTTCCTGAGAAGCTGCCTTATAAGATCTGTTTAGCAGTCTGGGCCTTTGTGCACAGAGGAAACATACAAATCAACTCAGGCAAATGCTGCTCTCTCTTCACCCAAAAGGAACTAAGGTTTGTAAAATGTTTCCTAGGACAGCTTAAGTGTTTTTCTGATGGATTTTTTTACCTGATCATTTAAATGCTGGACTCCTGACTTAGATGATATTTGTGGAAGTATGCTTTGACTGTTTTACTACAAGGATACAGATTAATCAAAAGAAATTTCAAAACCTTAAATTCAAGTTTCAGGTCACCTTAAATAACACAAATTTCTGTCTTTAATTATTGTGACACAGGGAAAGCAGTAGTCTTATAAATATTTAAAACAAGTTGGCTTTTTTCAGATACAAGGAGCAAATTGGCCACGATATGTAAATTGGCTGTAAGCCAAACCTATAAATTCCATGAGGAGATAACGTTGATGAGATATGTGAGCAAGGAACATAGGTGAAGGTTGTGAGCCTACACTGATCACCTAACTGGCTTCAATGGAGATGAAATGTGTCTTTCTACCTGCTCAGTGATAAAACCAGGATGCTGTCATCAATTAAACTCAGGGGCAGGCGAGTCATCACAAAGGGTTCCCTTCACAGTGGGGACACTCAGTTCTCATATTAGTTGCTTTCCTTTTTTTTTATTTTATTTTTTTTTCTTTTCATTTTTATACTCTTGCAGTAAAGAAGCTCCTATCTCTTATTCTCCTACAGCAGGATACAGTCTCCACAAAACACTAGCAAGTTCTTATAAGCAAAAGTAGATTGAACTTAGATTATGATAACAATAGAATGGTTGTAATTTAGAAAAATATCATGCAGGTTAAGAATAGAGGGAACCAACAGAAAACAAAAGCTACCGGGGTAGTTTCTTTCATAGACTTCTGTTCAAACATGTACAGGTTATGAAAGAATTTGAAAAAAAATATTAGATTCCAGGAAAATAGATTTTTACATATAAAAGAAGTAGTATATAATCATGTATATTAATATATTATAAATTCTATTTTTATATAGTTATCATAGTCTTTGACTGGAATGTCAAGGGAATTCTCTTTTAGCTATAAGTACAGCAAGACCTAGAAACACTAAAGCCTTCAGCAATAGAACTGGGATTTTGTTTCCTTTTCACCATTTTCCAGTTCATTGTTACCAGCACAGGTGTTGGGCAGAGATTCACAATGTCTTACAGGCTCTGCACTGTCAAACCCAATGATGATGAAGTCATTCTGCCTTACTGCTCTTGCCCAATCTCATTACCCTGCTGATTTTCAATTTTAATCTGAAACCCAGGGAAGGAAGTTTTGTGTTGTGTTATACACGATTATTCTCTTTCTCTGAAATTAACAGGAATGAATTAGGGCAAAACTAGTATAGGTCACTTAGGAGCTTAGAAATCTCAATGTGTAGCTATGTCATGAAGTGGTCTTAAATGATGAAATCCACACACAACTCCAGTTCAGCTGAGGAAGCTTGAGAGGCTGGAGCAGCACTTCTCAGTTCTACAACTCATTTAACCAGATCCTGAGAGTTTCCCAGTGGTCTGTATGTTACATATTTGGGCATAGTGTGGGACTTTTTGGAGAGTTTAAGATGTGGGGTATAGTGGGATATTAGTCTGTCATTAAGGCTGTGTGCTGCATGGGAATTTTGGTATTCTTGTGCTTTATTCTTTATAGTTATTTATTCAAATTTAAGTCCATGAAGGGAATGATTGTGTCCTTCTGTGTGCACCTTTCATGCTGTTGTGTACAGGACAGGTCCTTGGGCAACTTGGGCTGTCTTTGCTCTTTCACTTTTCTCCCAGGACAGTGTGTAGATGTCTACAGAAAGTACAGGGATTGCACCATCCTGAGAGCTAAGGTTGGGAACACTGGGTCAAATGAGCATGATTGCTAAGGCTGAGGAGGTATTCCTGTGACATAAGAGCCTGCCTATTAAGCTTGAGGTCCTATGTTTCACTCCAGTACAAAAAAAAAAAAAAAACTATTAAAGTAAAATAGTAAAATAAAATAACAGCACAATTGCTGCTTCAGTCCTCAGCAAGAAACAATGTGCTTAAATGCTTCAGCACAGAGTCACACTCCCCATCATAAAAAAAAAAAAAAAAAAACAAGAAGCCTGCTTTTTAATTTTTTTTCTGGCTACTTTGAATATGCAACATACACGGATGAGACCCCTTCTTTTTGGTGTTTTTACTAAAACTAAAAAGCCCAAGCAACTGGCTCATGATGCATCCTAGGTCACTTTTGTACATTTTGTGTATCTGTATTTATTCAACTCATGTCATGTAATTTACATGTGTGTGTTTATTCAGATTGTGAAATTAAAACTCGTGTTGACATATGGTTGTGAAGATATATGAGGGAAAGTAATCTTGTGGCATGCTTACAAATATACATAAATCTTGTTTTTTTTTTATGTTCAGAGAAATTTGCAAACCCAACATCCTTTTAGTCAATTGTACTCTGTATAGACAGCAGCAGCCATCTGAATATAGGGAATACACAGAAAAAAGTCTCTGAGTTCATTGGAAACAGCAATTGGAGCTCCTAATCCACACTGCTCCACGTGATGTCAATAGAAGGAATGTATACAAGTGACTGAATCTGTAAAAGAGGACACAATGTGTATCTCACATTGTTCGACATATTTATTTTACCACAAATCTACTTCAAAAAAATACAAATCACCACATACTTAGGTATCTAAACTTTTTCACTGTGGTTCAGGTGAATTTTTTTTCTCAACTTAACATCTCCCAAAGCCCTCTTTGGGTCATTAGTGTATCTAAGGTACTCCCTTTCCCCCCTGGCAGTAACAGGTTATATATTTTCAGTTTTTAAATGTATGTTCAGTTGCTTGATTTGGTCTGACTCTGTGAAGTTCACTTTTAACCCCTTATGGGGACTGTGTTTGTGAGAATTCAATTCTGCACAATTCCTTTTCCCTTCTATAATTAGTAAGCTTTTATGAAGAAATAGTGAGATATTTTGTGAAGAGTCCATCCCTGGATAAATATCTGTTTGAATTCATGGAGTCACATTGTATTGAATGGGTCACCAGTATAATGGTTAATTGTTTCAGTCCAGATGTGGGAAGTAAGTGTCTCTTTGAAATACACATCACCTTTTTTGTTCTCTGTGCTCCTCTCCTTCTTTAAATCACTCTTTAAATTCTTCCTCCACATTCATCTTCTATTTTCCCTCTTCCAGATTTAGAAAAAAAAATAATATATATATATATATATATATATATATATATATATATATCTTTAAGCATCAGGGATTCTTTTTATTGAACAATGGTGTTTAGTATTTAGGGGTGATTTGTGGGACAGTGGGTATAATTTTTTCAGGATTGAGTAAAATTAGCAGTTTACTTCTCAGTGGGTAAAGTTAGTTTTTTTTTTCCTTCTTTCTCTGTGTCTCTTCTATCTCTTTCACCACAGAAATGCATATCACCTTTCTGTCTATGAAAGAAACAATTTTACACTGTCTTTGATTCCATTCCAAAACCACAAGGTTTGCTTAAATGTCCTCCATTAAAGTCACACACTACTTTCAATAACAATGAAGATGTTAATTCTGATTTTCTTTCAATTTACATATTTGATCAGCTTTCCTTTTCAAAACTGTCTCTAGTCCTCTACTTCATGCACATCGCCCTCCCAGAAGCACCCACAATGGCACAGACTCACTCAGACACATCTTCCAGGAAATGGTCATTTCTATGCCCTACACAGATTCTGGGTTTGAGAACCATGGATGTAATCCACCCCAGCGAGAAAGTCTTCCTCATCCTCTTGCTCCTGGGTCCCCAAGCTGAATTCAGTGCACCAGCTCTCCCAGGGGAAGACTGTATTCCATTTTTGTTCCTGCTCTCT